GTTGTTGTAGACATTGTTTTACTTTCTGATGTTGCCTCGTTGCACTCAGTCTTTGTTCTTATCTTGAGTCATGTCCCATCAATAACTGAAGATGCTGAAGGCTCCAATCCCACAAGGTTTACCAGACTCATATCACCATGGGCGACAACACTCTCAGAAACCAGCTCCTCTTCAATTACATTTCATGTGCCTCACCCCCCACCAAAAAAAAAGATGGCTTTTCTTTTTTTCTTTCTTTCTTGTAAGGCATGCTAATGAAACTAACAGGATCCTTGGTGGCATAGTAACTGATAAACCTCCAGTCAGCATTTTAAAACCACCAGCCACTCCAAGGGAGAAAGATGAAGCTTTCTACTCCCGTAAGACTTATAGGCCCAGAAATCCATAGAGAATTAGTGCTCTATCTTGTCCTATATGGTCGCTATGAGTCAGAATTGACTTGATGGCATTGAATTTTAATGAAACTAAGGCAGAACTTGACTGAAGTAATTCATTGTTAACATAAACATGTTTAAATAAATTTATTCCAAGCTAAACATATTTAAACATATTTAGGTCGGAATAAATTTATCCATGGAAGTCCTAGTAACAATAATTTTTTCTACTTACCCTGGTAAATGTTATGTTCTAAGCTCAAAGCACTATCTGTAATTTTTAGATCTAATGTATTACTCGGTTAAAAAATTACTGATAGCACATAATATGGAAAAGTCAGCAGTTGGAGCCCACCAGTGACACCAGAAGGAGAATGATGAGGCTTTCAACTCCCATAAAGTGTTACAGTCTCAGAAACACACAGGAGGAGTTCTGTGCTTCCAGTGGTATAGCGAAAAGCTGAAATGGACTCAATGGCAGTTACGTTTGAGTATGATGTTCAAAGCAAGAATAATTAAAGTAAACATTCAGAGTAATAAATATGCAGCACCCAAAATGTCCTCTCTGAGTTTCATAATACCAGATTTGGTGGAAAGCACTTATTAAGTCAGTAAATAATTACGGAAGTAATTAATTAAAGAAGTCAGTCCTCATCCGGATAGCATCACGGGAAACATGTGCCCTTACAAGAACACGAAGGATTATTTCAAGCAAGGCAAGAGAAAGCATATAGAATGTCTCAGAGAGGGTAAAGTGTAGTTAAAGATCCTTTGCTTACAAGGAGTGGCAAGAAAAAAAAGCAAGGACAGAGTCTATACATAATCATGTTACTAAGCAGGTTTGGGGAATAAAATTGACAATACAGAAGTGGATATAAGCAGAAGTTATGATTAAAACATATATGAACTTGTGAACACATAGATAGTGCTTGAATTTGGTTCTAGAGGGCCCTTGATGCCTGTTTAGTTGCTGGGTCATGAAGAAATTACAGTCTACCTGGAGAGGTCAATGTTTCCATGGAGCTCATAGTTGGTAAATTTGGAGAATTGAGGACAGCAACTTTATACTAGTGGGCATGAAAATATTTCAAAGTATTTAATTACCAGTACTGCCACATTGGTGATTAGCTGCTAAATATCAGCCTTGGATACAAGATGCCAAGTGGATTATGAACAGCTCCAGCTAGTTTATACCTTTTGAGTGTTAGTGACTTCATGGCCTTAAAAGTGGATCGTGCTGACTTACTATTGCTTTCTGAACCTCCATCAGTTAGACTCTAAGCTCAGTAAAAGACAGGAACTGCATTAATTTTTGTTTACAATTTATTTCTATTGCTTAGTTCATTGTTCAATCAATATTTGCTTATTGCATTAACAAAGAGTCAGACAGTCTTTCTGTGATCTGAAAGAGTCTTGAGGATACTTCTAACTAGAGGACAGATGCTCTAAGGAGTTATTATGATCATGATCTGGATTTGGAGGGCTGCTGCAGCTGAAATTATTCCCATTCTTTTAGAACGATTAGATGTCAAGTCCTAACTGTGTCCTACAGAGAAGCATACTAGAAGAATTCACTACTATGGACTTTAGTCTGACTCATAGAGAACCTATAAAACAGAGTAGAACAGTCTATGGGTTTCAGAGACTATAAATATTTACAGGGTAAAATTCCTCATCATTCTCCCATAAAGCATGCTGGAGTGTTTTACTCTAGTATGTTTTACAAATATATAACTTGCTCAATGCAGAGGTAAATACTAGGACAGGAGCATAAGCATAAAACTTCCTGAGTTTTCTTTAAATATTTACAGTTCTACTCAAAGTTCTTGTAGCAGAAATAGGTTTTTCAATTGTACAGAGGAACAAATTTCAGGAAATTGCGTACTTACTCCACTAATTCTCATAAAAGCAAGGTCATATGACATTTTATATTTCTCATAAAATGCTTCTACTCATTTGGGGAAGTAAGAACTAAAAGTACACTGTAATTTTGTAAGTTACAAATTTCTCAACTCTAGTTGAAATAGCAGAACAATTCAGGGAAGGAACTGTCCATAGCAATGATTCAGTATTTTTTAACAGAAGTTAACACATTTATTTTGGTTCTAATAAATTTTATAGAGACAGTCTCAAACATAATAATCTAGTTATTTCCTAAAAGACAAAAGTGATGATGTGCCCTTGCATCATAATAAAAACTAAACCAACTAGTGGCCTAATAACATTAAGAGCGTTTTACAAATTTCTAGTAGGCAGAAAGAGGAGGCAAAATTCCTGCTCCTGTGATTTACTGCCTCAGAAACCCACAAGGACAGTTCTACTCTGTCTCATTGGGTTACTATGAGTTGTAATTGACTGGATGGTGGTGACTTGGAGTTTTAAGGAAAATAACAGAAACATGATTAGCAATCAAAAGTCCTAAATTGCCTCTAAGCAATTTTTTAAAAGAACAATTTTCTCTAATATGTTAGTCAGTTTCATTTCACTAGAACTTTTTTCCCCATTCTTTATTTTGCATGCTTTTTGCTCATGAATATCACTCCTTTATTATATCCACATATATATAGCTAATTTGCTAATATTCCATGCATATGGCTAGTAATAAAACATTAAATCACTTTTACTATGACCTAATGTTTTTTTGTTTCTTTAAACTTACTGATTTCTTTCATTCTGCCATTAACTGAAAACAAATGCCTACTTAACTGGACAATTTTCCACCATGTAATCTTCATTGAGACACTGTTGCATACCTTATCTAAGCACATATTATGTATTAAGACTGTATTAGCCATATTCACCTCTGAAAAGGAAAATAAACTCATTGTATTTGAAGATAAATTTATAACATAAGAATAAACTCTTCCTTTGCTCACAAAGCAGCCCCACAAAAAGGGAATTCCCATGTGAAAAAATACCTCTAGAAAGCTATTAACTTTGTTCCTTTACTTCCTAAAATAAGCTTTGTGCACACTAAAATATTAAGGGTAAGAATGGAAAGAGCCAGAATATCTGTTACAACCTTGAATAGACCTTCTCAATGTTATGTCTAGTCTTAAGAAACTCAGTGAAAATTTTCTTTTGAAAACTTACATCAAGCCTGAAAAACACTGAATTGAGTATAGACCCGGTTTCTTGCATTGGTTTCCATTATTTCAAGGATGGTCCAGAAGGAAAGTTACTAGAGAATGGGACAAACCCACACGGGGCCCTTCAATAATTACCTAAAATACAAAGATGTAATATAAGCTACACTGATCTATGTAAGTAGAGGTCCAGCACTGTGTTGTATATCACTCATAAGCTCCTCAGCTTCTTACTCTCTGCCAAAGAACATGGTGGCCCCCTAAATACTCTCCATTTTAATAGAACTACAAAACTAATACTTTCAATTCCTGTAAAAAATATAAAACATAAACATATTTGTTATTCCATACATTCCGAATAGCATTTTGAAGAGGTGTTACTCGTCATGTAAATGATACATATGGAAATGGAATGAAGGGTCCTAAATTGAAAATGGAATAAAGAGTACCTACTTAAGGACAACATATACTAAATCACCTCATACACAATCTTATTCAAGCTTTGAAGTCAGGAGATATGAGGTCAAGGTAAAAATAATTACACCAAATTCATCATCTTTCCAAATTTAAATTATAAATCAATTTTAATATAAAGTGAGTAACATTATATAATTAGGGATTTGATGATAAGAAGGACATTTTAATCTGAAAGTATCATAAAATGTATTTCTAAATTTCATATTAGCTAAGTACTAATGGGTTTTATATGAATTCAGGTGTTATTGTGAATAGTTCTGCTTCATAAATAACTTGTATGTATTACTGTACCTAAGAAAATGATTCACACCAGTTATGTTTCCTAATAACATTTAATTCACTTTAGAAAAGATAAAGTTTAACATGAATGTTTTATCATTCTAGTATTACTGCATTTAAAAGGCACAAACTCAACAAAGTAAAAGAATGCACATACAATTATTTGCCAGTATCTCCAGAACATGTCAATTTCCCCCAAATCCGTATTCATTGTTCAGAGTTAATACTGGAACTAGATTGACAATATTCTGGGAGAGGATGATGAGGAAAGATACAATACAATAGAAAAGAAATCTGGGTTATTTATTCAGAGACCAAACTAACCATAAAAGAGAAATCTGTGATGACTAGTAAACAAATCTTATCAATACTAATGGTATCATAGAAATTCCATACCATGAATTTATACTTTTTTTCAGAAGCAAAACTATATGTCAATCATTTTATATATCTATTAGAAGTGTGAGATGTTAAGTGTAGGGTGCTACTAACAAATCTATGATAAATCATACGACTCTTTTAACAATCCCTTGTTAATTTATTTCATTTCATTTTAAAACTCCCATTAAATCCTGCTGCCTTTACTCTAAATCAGCATCACAATTACAAGTAATCTGAGAAGTATGCTAAGTTGTCAAGAGAGCCTCTTCATTTTGGATGATATCTCTATATGAACTTTATTCACTTTTATATTTTTCTTCTTTGCCTCACTGAATCAGCCCAGAATAACATAGTGATAAAAAGCGTGTTGATGATTGTCCAAGGAGAGGTCAAAAGCATCAAGTTACAATGAAAAGGGTACTGGAAATCTTTCTATATTTCCTTATGCCCCTCCTCACAATTTCTAAAAGCATCATTTAAATAGCTTTTGAAAAACGATTCCCTTGGATTCATTCTCACATTCAATCTTGAAACATATACAATATTTTCCCATAGGCTACCTGATTGTCAGTGTAAAGGGTTCTGTATGTTGGAAATAAAAGGAAATGACTTAAGCAGAAATGTGTGATGTGACTTCATAAGCTAGAGACGTCAGCTCTAACCAAGGATTGTTTCATACTGTAGGTGTGATACAAGTTCCTTACTTGTCTAGTTTGATATTTGTAAATTAGGAGTGCTGAATTCAGAACTGTTTTCACAGGAAACGTTACGTAAATTGCATAGTGCTAAAGAATATAAGAGAATTTCCTGAACTTTCAATGGATTTATATTCTGCTCTTGAGAGATTTGAAGGCTAATCTGATTTATACTGCTCATTACCAAATTGGAAGACATCAGATTGGTTATGGAGCAACACCAGGTAAGATTTTCTTCCAAAAATAATTTGTAAAGCTCGTTCACCTTTTTTTCCATATAACGATTAAGCATAGAATTAGAAAGGGGTTGCTTATGAGACACCATACTCCTTTCTCGGATTTCATCCCCATCCAAGATCTTTGAAGCAGGCAGTTTCTCAACAGGCACAATAGAATGACCCAATGATATATCCACCGAAAGAAGAGGGCCATTGAAAGCATTATCATATGTGTGTTCCGCAAAGCAGCCTGAGTCATACAGGTTCCCGATGTGGTCTCCTCCAATTTGTAGGTCAGGATAAGTCTGCCAGATACTTGTACACGACCAAGATCGATACAGATCCAATTGTCTTTCATTCAGTTGTCTTTCTCTCTTTGGAATGGGCAATGCAACTGACATATTTTCTGGATGAGACACACCTTCGCAATTTCCCACAGTTCTGCCAGCTACACATTTTATTTGATTTGTGTCATTACATTGCTCTGTTACACTTTCTTTTATAATCTTTTCTTGACTTTCCACCTTAACGGAGTAAAGTGAGTATTTCTCTACATCTAAAAGCTGATTTTTCCATTTTTCCTTGTTATCATTTGAGTTCTTCTTACATTTACGTGTTTTGCAGAAATTTGTATATTTCTCTTCTTTGTATTGGAGTTCAATTAGGAAGGCTTCTGCTAACATTTTGTTAGAAAAGGATTGGAAATAGAAGACTGCAATATAATCCTGTAAAACAAAAGAATTCATCAAGGCAATGTATATTAAAATGCCAAAGAGCATTTATCTCCTACATGAGAGAAACGTTATTTAGAGAAACAGTGCTGACCAGAGGATAAAAGTAGATCAGAAGTAAATAGACTTGGTTTCTTGTTCTGTCGCTGTTTTACATCATTCTAACTCTTAATTTTCATTGATCTATGATAATAGCAATGCTACCGTTCTTTTTTAACAGTTATTTCCAGTATAAAATTGTATATTATGCATATAAGTGTTTAAAACCACAAACTTATATAAAGCTTACACATATACATACACACAATATATAGCTATCTTTAAGGATTTATTTTAAAATTATAAGTGAAAGTGCCTAACTTTTTCCCTTATCTTCCAAGGGCCTATTTAAAATCAAGGGCCCTAATTTAAAATCAAGGGCCTATTTTCAATTTAAAAATGAACTAGTTTAAATTATGCCCTTAATAAATCCTTAATTTAGGTCACACAATTATAAAAGTATTATGTTCTTACAATGTATATACTCATTGACATCAAGTCAATACCAACTCATAGTGTTCCTGTATAGAGTTTCTGAGCCTGTATGTCTTCATAGGATCAGACAACCTCATCTTTCTCCTAATAGAACACATGTAAAACGTGAAAATTTCTACACAATTGTACTCATGGAAACTTTTTACTTAAACCACTAATGTACCCACTTTCTTTCAATAATGAAAATTTTAAAAGGGTTGTCAAATTTACTAGCATTCTTTCATCTTTTTCTTTTGCTGCTTCCTTCTTGCCTGATTGCCTGTATTCCTTCTTTTCCACCTCCCTTTCTTTGAAATCTTATTTCCCTAAGCACTTATTTTCTTTTTTCTATGATCCTCTAGTGCAATTTTATTAGGACTTCCAATTTTCCCTGTAAATTCAGTAAAAATGTGAAAGAAACAGCAAACTTGACTCAGTATATATGCAATATAAATATACAATATAAATAATTGTATCAATATATACAATATAAATAATTGTATCTGTACAATTGTATCTATACAATACAATATATTGTATATTTTCCTCTAAGACATCTATAGTCTCAGCTACAAATGTTTCCTGGTAATTAAATATGAAGATAATAAATCAAGCATATAAAATTAAAACTTACCTTTTTCAAATGTCAAGATTTTCTAAAGATTGAGTCTTTAGAGATCCCATTAGTCCCCAGTTGAGAGAAGTCTCTTTGGACCCCTTCTGCTGACGCTTTTTCTCAGCTTTTGCTTGTGTCACAGAAATATATTCTTAACCACAAAATAGTTCCGCTTTCCATTCACAACCTAGGAGTAAACGAAACTTGGAGGAAAATGATGTGGCTTGATCACATGTATGGTAATCATCACATACCAAAAGAGGAACTTGTAAGTGTTTATTCAAGACTCAAATGACAATTAAAGTGGGAAATTATTTACAAAAAATTATTTATTTGCACAAGGGCAGGTACCAACAAGGCTTTAGAAAAATAAGTAGAAAAAAGAAATGTGCATTTTTAGAATTAATAATTAGAAAGAACTCAGTTTATAATTAATAGGATACTGCAATAAATGAATTATTATATATGCAAGATTTAATATTTTCAATGATGTGATTGTAAATCGTCTATATTGAATAATTATTACATTATAGATCTTCTAAACACTTTGCAGATATTACTTGACTTAATTGTTCTATCAATTCTAGAAAGTATGGGTTATTATGCTCCCTATTTTGGACAAAATGAAAACAAATTCATGGCTGATTCCATTTTATACAAGAGGAAACAAAAGTGGGAGAAAATTATACATTAATATTCTCAAAGTTTAAAAAGTATAGAACAAAGATTTCATTTATTGAGTGTTCACTATAGGTTAGACACTGTCATAAATACCTTATACGTACTAACAGATTTTATCCATGTATCATCCCTATGGCATAGATATTAGCCTCATTTTACTAATGAGGAAATTGAGGCAAGAAGAAGTGAGTTAACATGCCTAATATCACACAGCTAGAACGTGGCTTAAAAGACTGTGTGCTTAAATTTCCTGCTAGAGTGGCTGGTTCCACCTGATAATTCACTTAAAACATGAGGGGACTTCAAAAAGTCTTTGACAAAATAGAATTAATAGATAAAAAATGAGATACATAGACTTTATTTTTCAACATACACTCCATCAAGGTCAACTCATTTTGTAAGCAATTTAGTTCATTTCTAAAGAACTAAAGGTCTTAGGAATTTCCTCATGTCAATGCAGTCTATTTCACATTGTTATCTGTAGAAAGAAGTAGCAGAATTCATTCATCTCTGATAAGGTCTCTTTTGAAACTGAAGTCATAACCTTCTTAGTATCTGAAACTATATTCTGTTCAAACATGTTTTAAAAAGTTAATACAAATTTATTTTGGTGCAAAAACCTCTTGAACTACACGCATAGTTTTTCCATAATACACATTTTCCAGGGATTTTTGAAGGGTCCCTTATATCTAACTATATGTGCATTGTTGCAGGGGTTGTTAAATGCCATCAAGCTGGTTCCAACCCATACTGACCCTATGCAAAGCAGAACCCAAGGCTGCATTGTAGTGCACCATCTTCATAATTGTTCCTTGCTTATGCCCATTGTTGTAGCCACTGTGTCTATCCATCTCCTTTAGGGACCCCCTCTTTTTTGTTTCCCCTCTGCATTATAGAGCATGATGTCCTTCTCCAGAGAAGGGTCTCTTCTGACCACATGTCCAAAATATGTAAGACAACGTGTTGCCATACTTGCCTCTGAGGAGCACCCCAGCTGTACTTCTTCCAAGACAGATTTGTCTTTTTATCTAATGGTCCATAGTAATTTCAATAGTTGTCGCCAGCACCAAAATCCAAATTCATCAGTTCTTCTTTAGTCTTCCTTATTCAATGTCTAATTTCCATATGCATATGAGGCAATGGAAAATACCATGGCTTGGGTGGAGAGTCAGGAGCAAGATAGTGACCAAGTAACAAACACGGGAGTGACTCTGCAGAGACCAGCACAGAGAGACGATGGAGAGGAATATACTACACTTCCAGACCACACGATTCTGAAAATAAAGATAAGTAGATACAATTATTTAAAATAAAAGAGCAGCAAAGTCTGCAGATAGACTCATCTTTGCCATCACTTCTCGGCATTAGATGGTGGAGTGCAGAACCCAAACTCTCCCAGCTGATTTTTCCTCATCCAGGAAATTGCTAGTGTGGATGACTGGGTAAGCTGCAGGGACATAGCTCTACAAGACCAACCTCGGATAGATATAAACACAAATATGCATGACTCTTGATCCAAGCCAAGGGATCTCAGGTCAGATACTCTAGCATCACTTCTTCCCCAATAGCTGTGATAGCACAGCTTACTGAGCCGCATGGAGATAACTCTACAATGCAGCTTGGAGCAGGAATAAATGCTGAATAGATTAATACTTCACACATGCTGGGAAAGTTCCAGCCACACGTGACAAAGCTAATCCCACCCCACTCCCTGTGATACAGCTCTGCAAGGTCCCCCTCCGCCATATTAAGGCACAGCTATTCACAGGCTTTTAAAAAATAATAATAAATTAAACTCCCTTGGTTGGCAGGTAACCCCCAGACACATGTTCCATTCGCAAGGTATTAGATTAGCAATACAAACAGAAACTACAACAGCAGTTTTACAAAGCACAGGCAGGGAGTTTGGTCCTGAGACAAAGACTAAAAGCATCAGGACCCAGAAACTGCACCTGGCTAACATACTGGAGAGACTTAGCTATTCATCAACTGTTCCAGGACACCAGGTCCTGGTCAGCATCCCCAAGACACTCATATAAGTAATCTGCCTTCTGAGTAGGCTATTGCTAAATTCTTCCCTCCTAGACCACCTAGGTAGGTAGCAGATATATATATCCCAGTCCCCCTACCAGATTTTTTCACCTCCATCATTCAATAAGAGTGAACCCTGTTCCCTATGGCCTGATCCATCAAAGATCTATTCTTAAAGATAATTACCCTAAATCTTAAGACTACCGGACTCTCATCCATTCCAGATAAAACAGAACCCAAAGGTCAATCACCACAATAGCATAATTACAGAATACTATCAAAGAAGAGAGAAACAGAATTGAGAAAGTGAAAACCCAAATTAGTGAGCTTGAAGACAAATCTATAGACTCCAATCTAAAATAAGAATAAATAACAAAAAATACAAAGGAGACCTAGAAAAGCTTAAGAACAATCTGGGGCACAATCAAGAGGAACAACCTATGTCGTATAGTGATTCCAGAAGTAGAAGAAACAGAAAAAATCCACACAAAGAATAGTCTAAGAAAACATTCCTCAATGCCTAAAAAATTGGAAGATAATTATGCAGGTAGCCAAAAGAATCCCAATCTTTTGAGATCCTCAAAGGAAAACGCCCCAGCATATTGTAGTCAAGATGTCTAACATCAAAGACAAGGGAAAAATTCTAAGACTGGCGCGAGAAAAAAAGAACAATTACGTACGAAGGGTCAGCAATTAAAATAAATTCAGATTTTTCAGCAGATACCATGCAAGCAAGAAGCCAAGGGAGGTGATGTATTTAAAGTCCTGAAAGAAAAAATGCTACAAACCTAGAATCTTGTGCAAAGCAAAAATATCACTGGAATATGAAACAGAAATTAAAGTATTCCAAGACAAGAATGAATTCACAAGAACACCCACACTTCAAAAAAAAATACTCAAATAATCTGGCCAAAAAAATCAATAACACAAAAACCTGAAACAGACATACAAGACAATTCCTCACAAAAACAAACATACACAGAACAACATCCAAAGCAACAGACTAATGCAGGAAGAACAAAGAAACTAAACACAACACAAATACACACTCGCACACAGCACACTTAAAATAAAATGACATTAACAAATACATACATATCAATAATCTCACTGAAATTAATGGACTAAATGCACCAGTAAAGAGACAGAGAGTGGTAGAATGTATAAAATAAACTAAATCCATCCAAATGTTGCCTACAAGAAACACACCCCATTACTTTCCTCTTGTTCCACTATCATGTTCAGTCTTCATTTGGGTTTGAGTAATTCCTCTCTGTTACATTGCCCTTGATCAAGCCCTACCAGGCCTCTTAAGGCCTCCTCACCATTGATTTTAGATCATTTATTGCTCCCTTCTCCCTGCGTTTGTTAACACCCACTTCCTTTCCCCCGCCTACCCCTCTCCCATGGCCCCCAGAACTGTCAGTCCTATTGCTTTCCCCTCCAGCTTGTTTATCCCATCTATCTTATCTAGATAGGCATGGAGAAATAATATGCACAAAAACAAGACAGAGCAAAACAAAGCAACAAAAGAAAACAAAACAAAGGAAATAGAACAAGGAACTAGGAGGCAAACGGCATTTATAGAGGTCTAAATACAGGTATTTACATATATAAATATATTTATATATTTCAATAGGGGAATAGATCTATATGCATATATTTATAAGTTTAGTATTAAGATAGAAGGTGGACAAATGCAAGAAAACTTTGTTCTATTAAGCCGCATTTCATGATGCCCACCTTCCTGACATGATTTCTGAAGAAAAAAACGGTTCATATGCAAATTTGGTGAAGGAAGGTGATGTTGCCCGGCTATCAAAAGATATAGCATTTTGGGTCTTAAAGGCTTCAAGATAAACAAGCGGCCATCCAGTGAGAAGCA